CCCATTTTTCAAACCTCCAACTGACTTCAGGGCCTTCCTACGGTGACAAACTCTTGGAGCGCCATAGTGGGAACACACTTCCTATTTTTAAGTTTCTCCCCCAATCACATCGGAGTCATACAAAGGAATAGTTACAGCCGATAGGGATGCTTTGAAGCATTACATGAGCTCCTAAGAGCCCGCCCTCACACTTACGAAGTATTCTGAATTTCAAGTTTATCATTCTCTTGCCTTTAAACTATTTGTCATTTACCCCAGTAGGAATGGATGGAAACCTGCTTCCCAAACAGGAAGAAATGCCAACTGCTTCCCTGCAGGGGGCCGCGGAGACAGCCTCTACAGCCTGAGCTCATTCTGGCAGGCGCCCCGCAGATGGACCCAGACTCCGATGTCTGTGGACACCGGCCTCCCTGCTGAGGGCCCCGAGGGTGGCGAGGAGGGTACCTGAGATAGTCCCTCCGGCAGAGCTTGCGGCCCAGCTTGTAGTAGAGGCGCCGCCCCACCTCGCCCAGCCGGCACCCGCAGAGGTCACAGCTCAGGCAGTCCTCGTGCCAGTACTGGTCGATGGCCTTCAGAAAGTAGCGGTCCCCGATGTTCTGCTGGCAGCCTCCACATGTCAGCAGGGACGGGGGGATCTGCAGCACCTCATCCACGGGCTCCCTAGGAAGAAGGCCGAGCATTAGGGACGAACTCATGGTGGTGAGACAAGCACTCAAGGTCAGGAATCACCCGGGGCCAACAAACAGGGAGCCTCACTCAATGGTCTGTCGGTGACATAGAGAAAGGACAGGACAACCTACCCACAGGCTGGACTGCAGAGGGGCCCTGCCAGCCCTGGGTTAGGACAGGAGACCCTTTAAGAAGTAAATGCAGCCCAGCAGGCATGTCTCAGTGGTTGAGTGTCAACCTATGAACCAGGAGGTCACAGTTCGATTCCTGGTCAGGACACATGCCCGGGTTGTGGGCTCAATCCCCAGTTTGGGGTTTGCAGGAGGCAGCTGATCAGTGATTTCTCCGTCATCATTGATGTTTCTCTCCCCCCACCCCCCTTCTTTCCTCTCTGAAATCTTTTTTTTTTTAAGAAGAAGAAGTAAATGCAGGGCACCAAGAGGCACCCAAGACAACTGTAGGTGGTACTATCCCCCTCCCAGCCCAGCACCATTCTCACACCTCCAATCCACCTTCTCTTTCCTACTCTCCCCTCCTATTCTCCTTTCCTCTCTCCACACTTCTCCTGCTTTTCCCTCCTCTCATACCAGGACCCAAGTGCACTTCTGAACCCCAAAGGAGGCATTTGGACTGAACAGTTGCTTACTGCCAGGACAGCTGACTATTTAGGCTGAAAACCTGCAAATTTCCTATGGAATCTACCTGCCATCCTACCTCAAGTCCTTCCCGACGGCACAAAAACAGAGGTGAGGAAGAAAGTGACCAAAAGTGATCATTTTAGTTTTTCTTTTCAAGATACAAATTCCCTCAGGACATGATAGGAAGTCTCATTATTTTATTTTATTTTATTTTATTTTATTTTGTTACAGAAATTCCTTATTCCATCCTTCGTACCTAACGAATCCTTGGAGAACAATCCCATGTGTTAAGGCCATTGTTAAACTTATAAAGACATCAAATAGGCCTTTCTGCATGTCTTTACGACAGCAAAACTGATTTGGATAAAGTTGATTTAGAAAAGAAAACGGGGAGAAGGCAACAATTATTTTCAAGGGAGTGGAAGGCAATTAGACTCTAAAATCTCCATCCAGGCAGTTGTTAGCAGTTAGCTCGCGGTATGTGTCCTTTCATTAAAAAGTCATACAGCTTCTGACTTTGCTTAACTCGAATCTGAATACTTCTGTTTTTACATTTTAAAATAGATGACGTTATTTGCCAAAGGAAAATAAAGAGTAGAAGAAAGGATTCTAGCACCAAATGGGACACGGCAAAGACCCAATACCTGTTGATTTGTAATAATTAACAAGTGCTCTTTGAACCGTACTCAAACACGAATCTACGTTTAAAGTATCTATTCTGTGCTTTTTTTTTTTTTTAAATAGGCTTGCTTCCAACTGGGAAATTCCCAAAGGGAAATTAGCCCTGGATACCTTGAGGGTATAACTCTGTATCTCCTAACTGGCACTATCCTACCCGGTGACCTTGTGGCTTGGCTGGCCTGTGCCCACCGAGCTCAGCACACATTACACTTTGGGACTATGAGGCCCAGGTCATCTGTGTTGGTGACACACTGTGACAGCTTCAGGTGGCTCTGTCTGTACGTGCACCCCTCCCTGTGATCTGTGGGAAAACTGAAACCAAGCCCACACTTTGTAGATGGAGTGTCAAGATCCTTCATGAGATTATTTCCTTTTAGGACAAGGAAGTGTGAAACCCGAGCCAGTTTTCTTCTGAAAACTCGAGTTTAAAATAGTTTTAAGAGTTCGCCGAAGGCTGACTTGCTTTTCTTTGTTTCCATGGATTAGACATAAATAAGACTTTCCATTCTTCCTTCTGAAAAAAAATAATGTCCCCCGCCTTTTCCTGTGCATCAACTCCGAATTGCATCTCTTCTCTTTCCACAGTCCCTGGTCTTACTCGGGGCTTTCAGAAACACTAAGGCCGTGGTCGGCCAACAGCAGCTCGCGAGCCACACGCGGCTCTTTGGCCCCCTGAGTGTGGCTCTTTCTAAGCCTTAGGAGGACCCTAATTAAGTTAGTAACAATGTACCTACCTATATAGTTTAAGTTTAAAAAAGTTGGCTCTCAAAAGAAATTTCAATCGTTGTACTGTTGATATTTGGCTCTGTTGACTAATGAGTTTGCCGACCACTGCACTAAGGGAACCTCAACATCACTGGATGCCTTGATGCTGCCAGCCAACTGTGAAAGAGGAGAATTTGCACTTAGCCGGTGCAAAAACTGCTGGAATGAAAATGAATTTCTCTTGTTACTCACGGGGAGGTGCTGGGGCCACCGAATGTATAGTAGAGAAAACCCGTGTTCATAGATTCTGGCTGTCTTTCTGTCTACACACTTCATTTGCATATGCCTAGGCAAGTTTCTATCTGTAATTTGGCGATGCTGGTCACACTGACCCAACTTGGCTTTAAGTAAGTACACAGTGAAGCTGGTAGGATAGTGGTCTACAGTAGAGATATTAAGCAAAACAGCTATTGTGATGGCCCGAGATAGGAAAGGACAGGATAAGATATTGGCTCTATCTATCGTCCTATAATTAATGACAATACCGTATTATCTCTGGTGGATGTTCCAAGCCAATAACTGTGTGGGATTCACCTTCCAATTAATATTTCGTAATCCCCCTAGAACCTATCTGACTATTATACCTGAGTGCACCTCATCCAGGATTTCTGGGCTAATTTCCTGACAGTTTCTGAGAGAGAGGGGATGTGCTGCAGTAATTCCTCAGCAAGCTGGTCCATCTTCCATCAGCGCCTAGCCTCCTTGGGCCAAGGGTGAGGCACAGGATGGAGTAAGCATCCCTCAGTAGGTGCCTGCTGTGTTATGAGGTTAGAATGTTTCAATTTCCTCATCTCAGTGAAAAAACACAAACTTTAAAAAGGGCAAACTTCCTTCAGGGAACTGAAACCGCCAGATTTATCTTCTAATAAAAGGATTAGTGGCTACATTCGGCTGATCTACCCAATTCACTCTTATTGTATTACTATGGTCTTGCCCAGCCTCTGAGAACTCAGAGCTAAGTTGGAATTCTAGGTTTGGGGGGAGGGGGGTAGTGAGCAAACCACCCTTTAAACCTAGTGTCCGCATATGTATGAAAAGGAATGTTATTTTTCTCCTGAGAATATGAGGAAGCTGGGTGTTTTTTGTTGTTGTTGTTAGAACAAACCTAACTCGGTATAGAACTGGTGCCTGAACCTTCAAGAATGAACAGTGATGTTTATATTCTCATTGGATCATGGCACTTCCTGTGTTTTATGAGAACATGCTGGGCTTTTATGCTGGTAACCGAGGGTAAAACCCAGGTATATAAACACCGTAGAAGGCTGAAATGGGGGGAGGGGGGGGAAGGGAGACTTCAATCAGGAAAGCACAATTCTTGTAAAGCAGGAAAAGGAAAGAAAACAAAACAAAACAAATGCCTCTTAAAAGCACAAATGGACAAGTCATTAACCAGCTCCTTTGGTCTGTGTAACAAATCCCTTCAAAGGATTAGATGGGGTACTTCAAAGGAATAAAAATTCTCAAAACCAGACAGCTAATGAATCTTAAAAGGGCATTTGCGCGGACGGGAAAACGGTGTTTTAAACAACCCTTTCCCCCCCACGTTAATACTAGGGGATGGGCTGGAGGCGCAGGGGCTGGGCGCAGGGAAACACTTCCAACCAGTAAGAGGCTCAGAAAGCAGATGGGGCAAAAGCTCCTGAGAGCTCTAGTTCTCTGACCCCAACCCTTCGGAGGCTGTGATGAAAGCTGTGAGGCTCCGATCCCCAGAAACATTCACCTAGACACCAACTGTACCCCAACTTTCCAGGTTCACAGGCCCCCATCGGAGGACTCCCCGCCCCTCCGGGGGCCGGAGG